ACAGCAGATGCATGCAGCGGTGGGGACAAAATGTCCCCGATTCAAGTTACAGGAGCCCGAGGAGAGGGAGGCCAGGTGGCAGACCCCCAGCTCAGCCCCTCCTAGAGGGTCAGCTGACATGAAGGACTGGGTTCTGATCGAACTCAGGGGACCGGCCCCCTCTAGGAGTGGCTGCTCTGTAAACCTCAGCCCTCTGAGGAGGGGCTGCCCACTGTGGGGCTATCCTGGAGCTTGGGGTAGGAGTCAGGCGCCCCTGCCCCAGGGAGGGTCATGGGTCTCACCTCCACTCCTCCTCAGGAGACGCCTCGCAGCCCCCTGTCCTGTCCCCTCCCCACCAGGTACACAAACACACAGTGGCCCAGTTGCCAAATACGGCCATCTGAGAGTCAGATATTTGCTATCAATATTTCATGCCTTAAACAACACTGTCCAAACAGCACCTATGAAATATGAATGGATTGAGGTTTTGACAAGCAAATAGCCCAGGCAACACACCAGGGTGATGGGGGTGGGGGACCGTGGGACCGCAGCCACACCCCTGGAGTCAGGCCCAAGGTTTGAGGGATGGCGGTTCTCCATGTGCAGGGTCACCGAGAGCCCATGTGCTGGTTACAGGGCTGAGCCGGGGGAGGTGCTAGGCATCCCAGGGGCTTTGGGGAGAGGCCAAGGAAAGAATGAGCTGGGAGCTTGCTCAGAGCCCCTGAGGGTACCTCCCTTCCAGCCAGGAAGAGGGTGCAGGAGGTAGACCAGGAGTCAGAGGGCCAGAGAGAGGCGAAGGTTGGCAGGGCAGGCTTGGCCCTTGCTTCCTCGAGCTGCTCCAAGCCCCTGCACATTTGCCGTCCTCAGGGAGTTGACACGGATCCTCTAGCCTCCGTTTCCAGCCCTCGCCCTCCTGGGAGTCAACTCCAGAAGCCCTTTGCTCTTCTCTCTGGACTGGCTCTGTCTGGGTGTGGGAGGACGTCTAGCCTGGGCGAATCGTGATGGCCCATGGTCTTGGGTACTTCTCACCAGCCTCCCCCTTCTGAGGCCTCTGTCTCCGGGAGCCTCATCCTCCAGCATCTTTCTCCCAGGCCAAGAGGCCACACGCTGTTCATGGGGTAGCAAGCACTCAGGCCTCAGTTCCTCCATGTATAATATGAAGCGGTTGGACATGATTTTCTGTGAGGTCCCTTGTAGCCCTGACACCCGGCAGGTTCACGGTTCACTGCCTGCCCTCCTGACACCCAGAGAACCCCCAGGGGTCAAGGTGCTGCTCTCCTCAATCAGAAAGCATCTGGAGGTGTCTGAGCTCACCTGACAAGCTGCTGGGAGGGTCTGCTGGAAGGTGGACGGGTCCAGCTGTGGAGCCTGCTGGGACCTCAGCCAAAGGTGGTGGGACGGAGGGAAGAGAGAACAGCTGAAGCCAGGTCTGGGATGGGGACGCAGGGAGGGACACCTAGTGTCTCCAGTGTGGGGACATTGACCCATTTGAGCTTGTTTGGAAAGTCTGGTGGGAGCAGGGGAGGCCGCGCAGCAGGCGTCACTGACTGGGGTCTTGCTAGTAGCTACACGAGTAGCTCATTGTGGCTCTGAGTGGCAGTGGTCACTGGGGTCAGGGTCCAGGCTGTTTCCCCAGTAAGAAGTAGGTTGACTAGTAGGCCCTGGTCACTCCCCAGGGCACTGAGTCTTCAGCACAAACCAGAACCCGGCCCGAAAGCCACTTGTACAAATGCGAAGGACTCAAGGGCCAGGGCTCCCCTCAGACCCACCACATCTCAGACTTGCATAGGATGGGCTGACTGCAGATCACTAGCCAGTGGGGACTCTGAAATGGCTCTTCGGGGTCTGCCTGGCTTGGGGGGACCGGGCAAAGCTAAGGCGACAGCTTCAGGGTCAGTGTTTGTATTTGGGAGGGGACAGAGGACTGACACCCCCAACAAACGGACTTTGTTGTCTAGCCTGTCAGTGCCCTCTTGGTGGCATCCAGACAGGTACTGGACTTGGAAGCAGGGTGGCTGTTTGGAAGGCAGTGGCAGCTCTTCGGAGCTCACCATCGGGGGGCCACCAGCTCCCCCAGCCCAGTCCAGTTCCAGGCAGAGAGAAGGTCTCCAGCCCCTTGTCAGAAAAAGCGCTTCATCTTGATCCTTTCTGAGAAACTGACAGGGTTGATGGAAGCTGCTGATTTCCCGAGCTTTCAGAATTGGCGAGGGTGGCAAAAGAGGTTTCTGTAATCCCTCACTGATGGATTAGATGGTGGGGCAGATCTCTCGGGAGCAATGGATGACCTTGAGAAAATGTGGACGTCAAAGGGAGAGAGAAATAATCTCCCTTTTTCAGACTGCTGCCAATAAGCCTTCTCAGCACTGGGGTAGTTGATGGAAACTTTGTGGCTGTTGCCTCCCAACTCAGGAGGCATTTGACTGCGTGATAAGAAATTGCCAGGCACTTTCTAATTACAATTATCATCATCGTGGCTGTCTCTCTTAATTACTTTCTTATAATTAGCTGTTGCTTTTTTCCTTGGCATTTGTGTACTTTGCAGATTTGCTGACATTTGAGAGCCCCAAAATAGGGACATTTGGGGAGGAGGGCAGAAAGGTGGGGAACACATGAGGGGAGCCGATTCTTTTCAGGCAACCTGATACATTTGGGGGCTTCTGCAGAAAGCAGTTGGGGGAAGCGAAAGACTGATGTGCTGGGTCATCATCTGAGCTGAGGGGGTTAGAGAGCAGGAATGGAGGGGTGGGGACTGGGCTTTGTGGAGGGTCTCCAAGTGTTAAACCTTGGAGGAAATACTCTTGAAAAGCCACCAAGGCCACCATTTCTCAGGCTTGGATTTCATTGCAGGAAACAAGGCTGAGGTGAATCACACTTTGTTGAATTCTTTTCAGAGTTAGTTAAATAACTCAGGCCAGGTGTAGCTTGATGTTCCCCAAAGTCGGTGACGCGTTCTGAGCATCCCTAGGCCCCAGGGAGTCATTACAAAGTGGATTATGCTCCTTGACCAGATGGCTGGTTTTCACACTCTGTGCTTGTTTTTCCTCCCTCTCCCCCGGCCCCCTGCAGCCCTGTGTACAGAGGAGTGTGTGCATGGCCGCTGCGTTTCCCCGGACACCTGCCACTGTGAGCCCGGCTGGGGAGGGCCCGACTGCTCCAGCGGTAAGTCTGGGGTCTTTGGGGCTTGGCTGGGACCCTGGCTCTGGCTTGGGGGGAGCCGTGCCGTGTGCAGGCTGCCTTCTTTGTCCCGGGCTTGAGCTGCCTAGGCGATTGTGGGCATCAAGGAAGAAACAGACCACAGTTTAGTACATGATGGTACTTGGGGTGGAGGGCTCATGGGTTTATGGGGGTCTGGAGGGAAATTGTGTATCACGTATATGGGGAATTTGTGGGGTCATCTGTACGACTCTGACTTTTGATGAAACGCTTCTGGAAAAGGTCGTTGAGGGTTGACGTGAAATTGAGATGCCACCCAAGGGTGCAGACCCGGGAGACCACTGTGGGTCATGGTCTGGTGCTCAGCTTTGCTGGTCCAAAGGCTCAGTTTGGTGGGTGCTCCCAGAGGCTCAGGGGACTGAGTCATGAGACTGGCGGGCACTGGGATGCCTCTGTGTCCCCAAAGGTAGGAGAATGGGATGCCTGTAGGGGCCGGTTGCTGTGTTCCCACGCCTCTCTGGGTAGACTGTTCACGTTCCCTGGGGAAGGCTTCCGGGTGAGCACCAGTGAGGCGAATGCTCTTGACGGGATGACCCACGGCAGGCACCGTGGGCATCGACTCTTCTGCGAGCCTGGCCGCCAAGTGGGCAGGGTAGACCTGGCAGCTGCCTGGAGAAATTCTCTGCCAAGAGTCCAGCTGAAGCAAATCCTTCCCCTTTGGCTCATTTCCTCCAAATACTCACAGATGACCCTCTTTCCAGTGGCACAGTTTGCAGTCAATGACTGGTTAATGTCGTGGTTTTATTTGATATCGGCGGCACCCTTGATCAGTGTCGAAGCCCAGTTTTCTTCTTGCTTTGAGCTGGGATGGTGTCTTTCTTATTGTGACTTGAGTAAATGACATGGCTCAGCTGATCCAGTGGGGGTCTAACTCTTGTTATTTATGCATCTTTGGGAGTCATCCCCTGTTGCCTGTCCAGGAGTGACTGCAATGGTCATGACAACTTGGAGAAGGAATGTTGGGTCCACATTGGCCCAATGTGGTGCTCTTGTCCTTTTCCACTCTCTGCTGGGGCAGAAACATCCAGTTAGGGTCCTTTTTTTCCAAAGACCTTGATTGGAACCTCCCTGCCTAAGCAGTACATGGGTACATACCAGCCGAGACAAGCTATTGGATGTGGTTTTGTTTGAGCCTGGGTGGTTATCTAGGCTTGGGGAGTCCAGGATCTGTTTGGTGTTCTCCAGACTCTCTCCAGTGTGTTGGGACGTTCAGGGACAATGGCAGTCTCCTCCTCCACCTGTTTCACTGCTTTGAGGTAAGTCGTGCTGAGAATCAGGGACTCCTCCAGACAACAACGAAAAGTAAACCTGAGGGACACGTTGAGTTAAAGGAATGTGTTCAAGCTGTCTTTCTGTGAACTCCAGGAAACCTGCTGGCTGAAATGTTTGAGAGCATTTTTCCCCCCTTGTCTGTGTTTTGTTTTGTGTAACTTGGTCTTCAATGAATCTTTGGTGAGGAACTCTCTGACTTGGATTAGGTAAACCCTGCTGGGACAGGTCCGCTTGCTGTTGCCAGATTATAATGTCCAGGGGAGTCTGTTGGAGGTTGAAATACAGCCCAGGTCCCAGAAACACTCAGTGCATATAAATCGCCAACCAGTGAAAATGTATTTGGTGCTCACTGTGGCGGGCAGTGGGGCGGGCTTGGGAGGGTCTTTCAGACATAGTCTCTCTGTCTCAGAGTTTCCTTCCAGTCCAGGGGCAAAGCAATGGCAGGAAGGTGGCACTCAATCAATGGGACTAGGCAGTAGAGAGAAAATCTTGCCCCTGGAGTGTGTTTACCCAACATGTAGGGAAACAACCTTGTTACTTTACAATATGAAAGTGGGCTGCCACCTCAATGTTCACAGCAGCACTATTTACAATAGCCAAGACATGGCAGCAACCTAAATGTCCACCAACAGATGACTGGATAAAGAAGTTGTGAAATATATGTACATATAAAAATATATATTTATTGGAATACTACTCAGCCATAGAAAAGAATAAAATAATGCCATTCACAGCAACATGGATGAAATTGAAAATTGTCACTGTAAGTGAAGTAAGCCAGCAAGGGAAAGAAAAATACCATATGATATCACTTATATCTGGAATCTAAAACAATGACAGACATGAACTTATTTACAAAATAGAAACAGACTCACAGACATAGAAAACAAACTTATGGTTACCAGGAAAGGATGTAGGAAGGAATAAATTGGGAGTTGGAGATTTGCAGATACTAACTACTATATATAAAATAGATAAACAGTAAGTTTCTACTGTAGCGCAGGAACTATATTCAGTATCTTGTATTAACCTATAATGAAAAAGAATATGAAAACGAATGTATATATATGTATGACTGAGACATTGTGCTGTACACCAGAAATTGACACAACATCGTAAACTGACAATACTTAAATTAAAAAAAAAAAGTGGGCTGCCCAATTTCCACTTCCAATTAAGTCATCAGGCTTGGTGCTGAGCAACGCGCAAGCTGTTTCCTCAATAAACCCACCCTCATGGGTTGAAGAGTCCCCACCATTGGATCTTAGTCAAAGCCAGGAAGTCCGCCACAAGTGGAAATCTGTCTCTAGCTTCTACGGGTTGGTTCTCACCCATGATAAAGGCCAGGAGGGGTGACAGATCACCATGACCCTCCTTGTCATGTCTGGACTTCCTCCCAAGGAGCTCAGCGGACAAGACCGCAAACTGTGTGGGAGGACATTCATCTCTGAGGAGTTGATAATAGCCACTGAGACTACATAGAGGAAACCAGAGTCCCCTTCCATGGGTCAGGCCTTCAGGTATTAGAAGACAGTGATCATTCCCCCTCCTCCCCAGTTTTTATTCTCCAGTAATACAGTCTGAACTGCCTCCCCATCTAGTTCCCCTTGGCTGTGGCCTTTATTCCTCTTGAACTATCATTCCTGGATCGGAACACAGATGCAGGCTTGTAAGGAAAAATAAAAATAGAGAGCAATACTATGTACTGAATTTTACTACACACTAGGCACTTTATCTTCTCATTTAATCTTCACAACAACCCTATGATGTGGGAATTATTATTAGCCCCATTTTACACATGAGAAAGTTGAAGCACAGAGAGGTTACCGAACCCTGGACAGACACACAGCCAGTAAATGATGAAACTGGACTATCGATCAAGCAAAAACCTAGGTCCTGAGCCTGAACACTTAATCATTATGCTCTCCTTCCTTCTGGATGCTCAGCCTCTGTTAATACAGCCTGAGGGTGGAATAGGTCTTTGATAGGAAAACAGAGCTGCTCACAGAGGAAGGAAGGACCTGCTTGAAAGATGTGGCCCAGAAATATTGTTATGGAGATTGATGAATCAGTCATGGGACACACATTATGACTAAGTTTGCTCCAAGCAGTTTGACTCTGTTTGCTGTTGTGCCATTGGACACGTGTCTGCCTGTGTGCGCTCTGTGGTGCCTTAGGTCACTGGGGGACCCGTGTCCGTGGGGGGAGGTGTCTCGATCAGCACAGCGTGTATCTCTGGAGGTTTCTGAAAGGGACCTGTCATATGCATGCATGTGCCTGTGACACCCTTGCAGGGAAGCTTTGGGTTTTGTTTAATCAAAAGCATCCTTCTTGTTGGTGTTTTTTCCTGATTCTAAAGTCATACCTGTTCATATTAAAAAGGAAATTCAAACTGCACCAAAAGTATAGACGAAAAGGTTAAACCCACACACCCAGCGATAACAATGACTTCTGGCATCTGGGTGCTTGTCCTCCTTATTATTTATCTGCACTTCCAGCTAGATCTGGGTACAAATTTTATTTACATCAAATCTTTGTGCTATCCTGTAACTTGCTTTTTTAATTCAGCTGTATGTCATACACTCATTTCCTTGTCGGTAAACATGAATCTCCCTTAAACTTTTGAATGGCCTTATAGAATTTCATTGTGTGGATTACCGAAGTATTTAACCAGTCTCTCGTTGATGGACATTGAGGCTGTTTCTGATTTTTCACTATATTAGGCCCACCATCTTTTATCCAAGATCCTTGGGGCCTGTTGGTTTCAAAATTTAGATTTTTTTCCAGAGTTCAGGAGGGCGTGTGGGGACTACATCGTACATGACATATCCTCCAGTGGGATTGGGGCAGCACCTTGGGATGAAACGTAATAATATTTCTGAAGCAATGTGTGACTGATCATACCTAGTGACATATAGACAGTATATAGCCACAAATTGGCGGCATGAAGATTTTTGCCTCTAAATGAATTTTGGAAAATGAAGAAAAAATTCTTGTGGACTTTTTAGAGATGTTTGGATTGTGGGCATGTGGATAAGGGACTGCGGTCCGGTGTAAAAACCCTGCGGTGATTCTTCTTGTGCACGTATCTTTGCCCACGCGTCCCAATTTCTTCTTAGGATAAATTCCTGGAAGAGGCAGGGAGGATTATAGAGATCCATCATCTAACTGCCTGCCCCTGCCCTGCCCTCTGTGGCTGCCAAGGGATTTATGACTTTGATAGCCGTGAAGGGGACAGATCCAGTAGTCGGATGGGAGTAGAGGACTTTCCATTTTTCTACAGACTTATAGCCCCATAGCCTAATTTCTTGAAGGTCTGGACTAATTTCTTTCTGCTCCATAAAGGAAGTGAGGTGATGCTGATTTGCCTGGTGGGGAGACAAGTCCCCTATTGTGGATAATTCCAAGATGTTAGATGGAACAATATGGGGAAATGGAGTGGCTGCACGCTTGGTCATAAACCTCCATCCCATATAATAATGAAGAATAAAAGGATGAAATGTCAGTGTACACTGAGTAAAGACGAAAGAGTGACTCTTATTAAATTGCACTAATCTCACAAGTGGAGATAAAAAGAAAAAAAGTTTTGCTATATTGAATATCTAGCTTTTTAAAGTAATTAGGAATATTAAAGCACTGACAATGATTGAGATAGAAACATTATTCATAACTTTTATTTCCGCACTGGGCAATGATCCAGTGTATTTCATTTATGAGGTTTCAGCTGTAAGGAGAAGGACGTGAGCCAATTCCTAAATTAAATATGCCCTGTTAACTTTTATAAATGATACCCAAGAATCAACTTGGAAATTTAAGCCTTCATTGTATTATTT